AGCAATGTGCTGTAAAAAGGGGGCCAACCTATAGTTAATTACAATTAGGTAAAGAATAAAAAAGGCACAATACCATGACTGGAACAATACATAAATAGCCCGCACATAGAGACTGAAACTTACAATGGCATTTTGGTCTGACTTGGACCATAAATTAGTCACACATGTGGCTAGTTAACTAGTAACACATGTGACCACTTAATGGTCCATGTCTCACTGAAATGCTGTCATAAGTCAGTTTCCTGTGTGCAGGTTGTTTGTATACAGATAATTACTTAATAGGATAGTTCTGATGATGTGATCACTGGATAATACAGAAGGCATACTAGCAAATTAGCCAGGAATTGGATTGGTTTGACAATGGAATTGGTGTAAAATTGGCCCCAGATTGGATGAGATCACTGTTGTGACATTTCCTTAACCTCCAAATTCACGCCTGTGTAATTCTCTGGATATTACAACAAAAATTAAATTTTTGGTGTCATTACCTTCAGAAAAAGATTCTCTACCATTTTAGATTTTTTTTTTTTTCAAAATTGCCAGCAGAGAAGGAGTTTTCAACTTATAGGTGTTAACAGTGAAAGTGTTAAACACACTCAAGGTACTGGAGTGAAAGATATTTCAGAAATTTTGTCTTACTCATTGTCTAAGAATTCTGAGATACATACTTGCAGGGCCCTCAGGAACATGGATGAAATTGTACTGCTTCTCCTTTTTTTATACATTTTTTGTAGTGAATACATGACTAAATGTTTGTTTCTTTTCTTTATACAGTGGACCCCTCCATAGCAACGATATACATAACATAATTTTGAATGTGTGAATATCATGCAGAGAATTCAGAGCATTGAAATTAAGAGGTGATGTGGGGTCACCAAGGGTATAATTCAGAGGGTTGAGGAGGTTGGAGCATGTAGAGAGGATAAGATTGATAGGATGACAAAGAGCACTTGCTGTTGGAATGTGAGCAAGGTAATATGTATGAGAGGATTGAGGTAAACTGGTTAGCCTGACAACTCAAGTACTGAAGATGGGAGGTGTGATGGCTATGCTTTGAAGAAGGGGTGGGGATGTCAGAGACAGAAGGGTTGTCTGGACTGTGATGTCAGCTCTCTTCTGGCTAGACAGCAATTGAGTGAATGATGATGAATGTGTTTCTTTTTTATGGGGGGTCACCCTTCCTGGGTGGGAGATATTTTATATTTTTTCTTTATTAACACATTGGCCGATTCCCACCAAGGCAGGGTAGCTTGAAAAAGAAAAGCTTTCACCATCATTCACTCCATCACTGTCTTGCCAGAAGGGTGCTTTACACTACAGTTATAAAACTGCAACATTAACATCCCCTCCTTCGGAGTGTAGACACTATGCTTCCCATCTCCAGGACTCAAGTCCAGCCTGCCGGTTTCCCTGAATCCCTTCATAAATGTTACCTTGTTCACACTCCAACAGCATGTCAAGTATTAAAAACCATTTGTCTCCATTCACTTCTATCAAATACGCTCATGCATGCTTGCTGGAGGTCCAAGCCCCTCACACACAAAACCTCCTCTACCCCCTCCCGCCAACCTTTTCTAGGCCAACCCCTACCCCGCCTTTCCTCCACTACAGACTGATGCACTCTTGAAATTCTGTTTCATTCCATTCTCTCTACATGTCCAAACCACCTCAACAACCCTTCCTCAGCCCTCTGGACAACAGTTTTGGCAATCCCGCACCTCCTCCTAACTTCCAGACTACGAATTCTCTGCATTATATTCACACCACACATTGCCCTCAGACATGACATCTCCACTGCCTCCAGCCTTCTCCTCACTGCAACATTCATCACCCATGCTTCCCACCCATACAGGAGCGTTGGTAAAACTATACTCTCATACATTCCCCTCTTTGCTTCTAAGGACAAAGTTCTTGTCTCCACAGACTCCTAAGTGCACCGCTCACCCTTTTCCCCTCATCAATTCTATGATTCACCTCATCTTTCATAGACCCATCCGCTGACATGTCCACTCCCAAATATCTGAATACATTCACCTCCTCCATACTCTCTCCCTCCAATCTGATATCCAATCTTTCATCACCTAATCTTTTTGTTATCCTCATAACCTTACTCTTTCCTGTATTCACTTTCAATTTTCTTCTTTTACATACCCTACCAAATTCATCCACCAACCTCTGCAACTTCTCTTCAGCATTACCCAAGAGCACAGTGTCATCAGCAAAGAGTAACTGTGATAACTCCCACTTTATGTGTGATTTTTTATCTTTTAACTCTACACCTCTTGCCATGACCCTTGCATTTACTTCTCTTACAACCCCATCTATAAATATATTGAGCAACCATGGTGACATCACACATCCTTGTCTAAGGCCTACTTTTACTGGGAAATAATCTCCCTCTTTCCTACATACTCTAACTTGAGCCTCACTATCCTCGTAAAAACTCTTCATGTTCAGTAAAACCCCATACCTACATCTGCAACTCCTGCACATGCCCCCTTATCTGTCATACGCTTTTTCCCCAAACCCTAATGCCAAAGACCTCTTAGCTATCTAAATACTGATACATTATATGTTCACTGTAAACACCTGGTCCACACACCCCTCCTTTCCTAAAGCCTCCTTGTTCATCTGCTATCCTATTCTCCCATCTTACTCTAATTCTTTCAATAAAAACTCTACCATACACTTTACCAGGTATACTCAACAGACTTATCCCCCTATAATTTTTGCACTCTCTTTTGTCCCCTTTGCCTTTATACAAAGGAACTATGCATGCTCTCTGCCAATCCCTAGGTACCTTACCCTCTTCCATACATTTATTAAATAATAGCACCAACCACTCCAAAACTATATCCCCACCTGCTTTTAACATTTCTATCTTTATCCCATCAATCCCGGCTGCCTTACCCCCTTTCATTTTACCTACTGCCTCGCGAACTTCCCCCACACTCACAACTGGCTCTTCCTCACTCCTACAAGATGTTATTCCTCCTTGCGATATACACAAAATCACAGCTTCCCTATCTTCATCAACATTCAACAATTCCTCAAAATATTCCCTCCATCTTCCCAATACATCTAACTCTCCATTTAATAACTCTCCTCTCCTATTTTTAACTGACAAATCCATTTGTTCTCTAGGCTTCCTTAACTTGTTAATCTCACTCCAAAACTTTTTCTTATTTTCAACAAAATTTGTTGATAACATCTCACCCACTCTCATTTGCTCTCTTTTTACATTACTTCACCACTCTCTTAACCTCTCTCTTTTTCTCCATATACTCTTCCCTCCTTGCATCACTTCTACTTTGTAAAAACTTCTCATATGCTAACTTTTTCTCCCTTACTACTCCCTTTACATCATCATTCCACCAATTGCTCCTCTTCCCTCCTGCACCCACTTTCCTGTAACCACAGACTTCTGCTGAACACTCTAACACTACATTTTTAAACCTACCGCATACCTCTTCTACCCCATTTCCTATGCTCTCATTAGCCCATCTATCCTCCAATAGTTGTTTATATCTTACCCTAACTGCCTCCTCTTTTAGTTTATAAACCTTCACCTCTCTCTTACCTGATGCTTCTATTCTTGTATCCCATCTACCTTTTACTCTCAGTGTAGCTACAACTAAAAAGTGATCTGATATATCTGTGGCCCCTCTATAAACATGTACATCCTGAAGTCTACTCAACAGTCTTTTATCTACCAATACATAATCCAACAAACTACTGTCATTCACCCTACATCATATCTTGTATACTTATTTATCCTCTTTTTCTTAAAATCTGTATTATCTATAACTAAACCCCTTTTTATAAAAGTTCAGTCAAAGGGCTCCCATTATCATTTACACCTGGCACCCCAAACTTACCTAACACACACACTCTAAATGTTTCTCCTACTTTAGCATTTAGGTCCCTTACCACAATTACTCTCTCACTTGGTTCAAAAGTTCCTAGACACTCACTTAACATCTCCCAAAATCTCTCTCCTCTACACTTTTCTCTTCTCCAGGTGCATACACGCTTATTATGACCCACTTTTCGCATCCAACCTTTATTTTAATCCACATAATTCTTGAATTTACACATTATATTCTCTCTTCTCCTTCCATAACTGATCTTTCAACATTATTGCTACCCATTCCTTAGCTCTAACTCTCTCTAACTCCCCACCGAAACTCCCTTTCCCCCTTCAGCTTTGTTTTGCTTAGGGCAAGGACATCCAACTTTTTTTCATTCATAACATCAGCAATCATCTCTTTCTTGTCATCCGCATTACATCCACGCACATTCAAGCATCCCAGTTTTATTAATTAAAAACATAAATAAATTACCCAATACAGGTAACAGAGGATTTCCCATAACTATTCCATATATGCAAGTAGATAGGCAATTTTTTTTTTCAACGAATCGGCTGTGTCTCACCGAGGCAGGTTGACCTAAAAAGAAAAACGAAATTTTTTTTTTTAAATTTAATAATTTATACAGGAGAAGGGGTTACTAGTAGATAGGCAATTATTAAATTTTCAATTGATATTGCAGTATTCAGTGAGATCATTGATTACAGAAGTATACAAGGGTAAAATAAATATATATAGGAAATTCTAAATCATTCACATGGACTCTAGTGAATAATGCAGTAACATTATGGCTGATCAAGTTAAACTTGAAGCTGTTGTTAAAAAGTAACAGTGATTCTATCACATCAGTATTTTTCTTTAGATATTAGAAGGGAACAGTTTCCACTAATAGTTTAGTTTTAGTTTAATTTTTAGTTTAATATCTTTATTATGCACCTCATACCCATCCTGTGGACAGTAGTCAAAGGATTACAGAGGTATATAATGGGTCCAGGAACTGAGCCCTATTCCACTTATGGCATCAGCAATTTAGCTAGCCATTTTGTCAGCTTATATGAATGTAAATTTACTGTATCTCAATTTAGATTTTTTTTTTTACTTCATGTTATACTTTAATTTTGTATTTTTCAGATAAATTGAAGTCTTCATCTGGAAAAGCTTCTGATTCTAGAAAAAAGGATGAGAACGACATTGATGAGTCCACTAAGAAGGCTGCCTCTAAAAGTAAATTGATGGCTGATTTATTTAATGATAATTCTGAAGATGTAACTAAAGAATCTAAAATGACTAAGTCTCCTAAGAAAGATAAAAGCAAACTGATGAATGATTTATTTGGAGGGGCTGATGACTCTAGTCCTGATAAATTTGAAATCTCTGCAGCAAAAACTACTGCAAGGAGAGGAACAGCAAAAAAAGTACAAGATGATGATTTATTTGATGATGGTGATGATTTACTGGGTGGCTTGGAGTCAAAACAGAAACCTGGATCAGGTAAAGATCCTGTTAAGGGTGGAAGCTTTTTAGATAGCTTGTTAAAGAAGAGCAGTGCTGAAACTCCCAAGAAAATGAAAGAAAAATCTCTAGACTTTGTTTTAGATGATAAGTACAAAAAAACAGGTAAAGATACTAAGGAAGAGAATGTCAATTTTGGGGATTATAAACCATCAGCAGCCAAACTAGACAGTCCAAAGAGAAGAACTCCTAAGAAATCAGTTGCTAATGATAACTTTGATCTCTTCAGTGATAATGAGGCAAGAAGACGGAATCCACGGTCGGCACCGCAGAGGAAAACATTTGAAGTAGATGATGATGATATTTTGAAAAATGTTAGATCTCGTAAAGATGGAAGCAAGGAAAGTAGCAAAGATGCTATTCCAAGTGCACCTAGTTCAAATAAGAAGATTAAAGAGACTGCAAAATCTCCTACAAAAAATCAAAATAAAAATGACTGGCTTTTTGGTGATTCTGGGTCTGTGGCAGAGTTTGCAAACAAAAATATGGATGACACTCCAATTACAGCATCCATTGACCAAGATGATAGTGTTACAAAACCTTCTCCCAGCAAAAATCAGGATTGGTTGGGAAGTCTCTTGTCGAGCAACAAGAAATCACCTAGCGTTTCTAAAAAGGTTAAAAACTATTTCTAAATTTTGTACTGTATTAGCATGTAAAAATGTTTCAGATTGCAAGGTAGCTTTTTCTTTATAGAGCAGTTGTTCTCTTCACTGCCCTCTTAAATGAAATTTTAATTATCACTTCCAAATGTCAGTTTGGATATCAAAATAGTCAACGTGTGCTTTAACCCTTTGACTGTTTTCGACGTATAAATACGTCTTACGAGCCAATGTTTCTGACGTATATATACTCAATAATTCTAGCGGCTTCAAATCAAGTGGGAGAAAGCTGGTAGGCCCACATGTGAGAGAATGGGTCTGTGTGGTCAGTGTGCACCACATAAAAAAAATCCTGCAGCACACATTGCGTAATGAGAAAAAAAAAACTGATCGTTTTTTTGGAATAAAACGCCGACTTTGAGGTGTATTTTCGTATAGTATTTATCGTTGTATTCGCGTTTTCATGGTCTTAGGTGATAAAATGGAAAACATATTACAGAAATGGAGATGATTTTCATTACTTTTAAAGATGAAAACGACCTTGAAACTGAGCTCAAAGTAGCAGAAATGTTCGATTTTTACCAATGTTCAAGAGTACATAAATCACAACCACACGTCCAATACACGTCAACTGGGGAGTCTAATATTCTTTCACTAGTGCACTGATATTTTTTATACCATTTTTACAATAATACAGTCGTCTGCATAACAGTAAATTGGGGTATTTTTTTGTATGAAAAAAAAAATCAAAATAGAAAGCAATAAAATAAAAAAAGGGCCTAGAGATGTGACTAATGAACAGAGCATATTTATTTTAGTGCCACAAATGTCTACCTGTTTATTCTGGACCCTATTTTGAAATTGGCATCTTTTTTATTTTGCGTGAAATTGGCCAAATTGCCAATTTCTGACCACCATATTGGGTAGTCCAAATTAGTAAATGGGAGGTTTTTTGTACTCAGCTGATAGATAAAATGGAGTTCTAAAGAAATAGCTATGAGTTTGGTCAACTGGAACAATGGAATTGGCTGAAAATTGGGCTCAAAGTCGGCGAAATCGCCGATACGCATATGTCGCCGAGACCGCTAACTTCGCGGGAGCATAATTCCACGAGTTTTCGACCAAATTTCGAACTTTTGGTGTCATTACCATCGGGAAAAGATTCTCTATCATTTCATAAGAAAAAATAATTTTTTTTTTTCAAAAATTGAGCGACAGAATGACAGTTTCAGAGAGGGGCCTGAAACAGTCAAAGGGTTAATTAGTACTTTGTCTGTGCCATTCATCTGTTTAATTTCTCCACAGAAAAAAGGCAAAGTTGCACAAATGAGCTTTGGCTATAATTAAGGTTTTTGTGCATAGTATATATTTTCCTTAAAAATTGATGTGATACAGTAGAACCTCTCATTAACAGACTAAATGGAGGGAGGAATGCTATTATCAGTCACCAAAATATTTAGCAGTTATAAAATAAAAGAACAGGTACATAACTGTTAAAGGCATGGGAATATGTAATTATGAGTTATCAGCCTTCATGTTTCACCGTTAGTTTTCCTGTACACTTTGGTACAAACCTTGCAGCTCAGTCCCTGGACACATTATGTGCCTTTGTAATCTTTTGACTACAACCCACAGGATTGGTGTGGGGGTGCATAATAAAGATATTAATTAAACTCACTTCGTTACAATATTCATTTTTTTTAAACGCTCTCCCTGGACATGTATGTATTGGAGTTCTACTGTATATAAAATCCATTTTTAAGGAGAGAGTTTCATTGATTCACTTTAATGACAAACACTGTACTCTACTTGCCCCCTTCCTTGGATTAAACTTTATTACCCTAACCCATCTCAATTACCTTGTACTGTTTCTCCCTTGTTAGTTTAGCACTTCCCCAATGATATGATACTGTAATAATACATTTATTTCAGATACATGCATGTTAATGAAGAAAATACGAAAGACAATGTTGCTACATGATAAGATATTGTCCACCTTTTCAGGTCACATCCCAAGATAACTCTGCAAGTGCAGCACCTTCAGTTGCATTGTCAAACAGTGTGGCAGTAACTGCCTCACCCAGTGTGCATATAGCAGACACTGGTCAAGGCAGTGTTGCTCCTACCACTCACAGTGTTCAAGTGTCGTCAGCTCCTAGCACCTTCTCTGTCCCAGCTCCAGTTCCCACAATGCTTTCCTTAACACCTACAGTTGAAGTAGGACATTTATCCAGTAAGTTATATTAAAACTTTTAGCTCAAATTGGGTAACATAGTGAAAACTTTCTAATGTATGATATTGTATAATATACATGTATATTGTATAGTGCTATATTAGTATCACAATTATAGGATGACTTGATGCTTTTTCATTTATTGTTAAGGCATGAGTGGTAAAGTTACTTTATCATTGTAATCATATAAATGATAATCAGCAGGAGGAGGAAGGGTCTTCCTAGGAACAGGTGGTGGGAAGGGGTAAAAGAAACCTTTTAGTTTTAGGGGCTTGAGCATCCAGCAGGCTTCTGTGAGTATGTTAGATAGGAGCGAATGAAGACAAGTGGTTTTTAATGAATGTGCTGTTGGAGTGTGAACAAGATATCCAGGGAAACTGGTTAGCCAGACTTGAGTCTGGAGGTGAAAAGAACTTGTCTTTGACCCTCATCCCTACAAACAGGTATTTACGCTGAGGAATATATTGGACATTTATTATTTTGCTTCGATTGTGTTCCTGAAACCTGCACAATCAATGATTTCCACAGCTTATTGACTGATTTTTTTTTTTTTTCAACAAGTCGGCCGTCTCCTACCGAGGCAGGGTGACCCAAAAAAGAAAGAAAATCCCCAAAAAGAAAATACTTTCATCATTCAACACTTTCACCTCACTCACACATAATCACTGTTTTTGCAGAGTGGCTCAGAATACAACAGTTTAGAAGCATATACGTATAAAGATACACAACATATCCCTCCAAACTGCCAATATCCCAAACCCATCCATTAAAGTGCAGGCATTGTACTTCCCATTTCCAGAACCCAAGTCCGGCTATATAAAAATAACCGGTTTCCCTGAATCCCTTCACTAAATATTACCCTGCTCACACTCCAACAGCTCGTCATGTCCCAAATACCATTTGCCCACCTCCACCCCTATCTAACATGCTCACGCACTCTTGCCGGAAGTCCAAGCCCCTCGCCCAGAAAACCTCCTTTACCCCCTCCCTCCAATCTTTTCGAGGACGACCCCTACCCCGCCTTACTTCCCCTACAGATTTATACGCTCTCCATGTCATTCTACTTTGATCTATTCTCTCTAAATGACCAAACCACCTCAACAGCCCCTCTTCAGCCCTCTGACTAATACTTTTATGAACACCACACCTCCTAATTTCCACACTCTGAATTTTCTGCATAATATTCACACCACACATTGCCCTTAGACAGGACATCTCCACTGCCTCCAACCGCCTCCTCGCTGCAGCATTTACAACCCATGCTTCACACCCATATAAAAGAGTTAGTGCCACTATACTTTCATCCATTCCCTTCTTTGCCTCCATAGATAACATTTTTTTTTTTTTTTTTATTATCACACTGGCCGATTCCCACCAAGGCAGGGCGGCCCGAAAAAGAAAAACTTTCACCATCATTCACTCCATCACTGTCTTGCCAGAAAGGTGCTTTACACTACAGTTATTAAACTGCAACATTAACACCCCTCCTTCAGAGTGCAGGCACTGTACTTCCCATCTCCAGGAATCAAGTCCGGCCTGCCGGTTTCCCTGGACCCCTTCATAAATGTTACTTTGCTCACACTCCAACAGCACGTCAAGTATTAAAAACCATTTGTCTCCATTCACTCCTATCAAACACGCTCACGCATGCCTGCTGGAAGTCCAAGCCCCTCGCACACAAAACCTCCTTTACCCCCTCCCTCCAACCTTTCCTAGGCCGACCCCTACCCCGCCTTCCTTCCACTACAGACTGATACACTCTTGAAGTCACTCTGTTTCACTCCATTCTCTCTACATGTCCGAACCACCTCAACAACCCTTCCTCAGCCCTCTGGACAATAGTTTTGGTAATCCCGCACCTCCTCCTAACTTCCAAACTACGAATTCTCTGCATTATATTCACACCACACATTGCCCTCAGACATGACATCTCCACTGCCTCCAGCCTTCTCCTCGCTGCAACATTCATCACCCATATGGGAGCGTTGGTAAAACTATACTCTCATACATTCCCCTCTTTGCCTCCAAGGACAAAGTTCTTTGTCTCCACAGACTCCTAAGTGCACCACTCACTTTTTTTCCCTCATCAATTCTATGATTCACCTCATCTTTCATAGACCCATCCGCTGACACGTCCACTCCCAAATATCTGAATACATTTACCTCCTCCATACTCTCTCCCTCCAATCTGATATCCAATCTTTCATCACCTAATCTTTTTGTTATCCTCATAACCTTACTCTTTCCTGGCTTCACTTTTAATTTTCTTCTTTTACATACCCTACCAAATTCATCCACCAATCTCTGCAACTTCTCTTCAGAATCTCCCAAGAGCACAGTGTCATCAGCAAAGAGCAACTGTGACAACTCCCACTTTATGTGTGATTCTTTATCTTTTAACTCCACGCCTCTTGCCAAGACCCTCGCATTTACTTCTCTTACAATCCCATCTATAAATATATTAAACAACCACGGTGACATCACACATCCTTGTCTAAGGCCTACTTTTAACTGGGAAATAATTTCCCTCTTTCCTACATACTCTAACTTGAGCCTCACTATCCTCGTAAAAACTCTTCACTGCTTTCAGTAACCTACCTCCTATACCATACACCTGCAACATCTGCCACATTGCCCCCCTATCCACCCTGTCATATGCCTTTTCCAAATCCATAAATGCCACAAAGACCTCTTTAGCCTTATCTAAATACTGTTCACTTATATGTTTCACTGTAAACACCTGGTCCACACACCCCCTACCTTTCCTAAAGCCTCCTTGTTCATCTGCTATCCCATTCTCTGTCTTACTCTTAATTCTTTCAATAATAACTCTACCATACACTTTACCAGGTATACTCAACAGACTTATCCCCCTATAATTTTTTGCACTCTCTTTTGTCCCCTTTGCCTTTATACAAAGGAACTATGCATGCTCTCTGCCAATCCCTAGGTACCTTACCCTCTTCCATACATTTATTAAATAATTGCACCAACCACTCCAAAACTATATCCCCACCTGCTTTTAACATTTCTGTCTTCATCCCATCAATCCCGGCTGCCTTACCCCCTTTCATTTTACCTACTGCCTCACGAACTTCCCCCACACTCACAACTGGCTCTTCCTCATGCCTACAAGATGTTATTCCTCCTTGCCCCATACACGAAATCACAGCTTCCCTATCTTCATCAACATTCAACAATTCCTCAAAATATTCCCTCCATCTTCCCAATACCTCTAACTCTCCATTTAATAACTCTCCTTTCCTATTTTTAACTGACAGATCCATTTGTTCTCTAGGCTTCCTTAACTTGTTAATCTCACTCCAAAACTTTTTTTTATTTTCAACAAAATTTGTTGATAACATCTCGCCCACTCTCTCATTTGCTCTCTTTTTACATTGCTTCACCACTCTCTTAACCTCTCTCTTTTTCTCCATATACTCTTCCCTCCTTGCATCACTTCTACTTTGTAAAAACTTCTCATATGCTAACTTTTTCTCCCTTACTACTCTCTTTACATCATCATTCCACCAATCGCTCCTCTTCCCTCCCGCACCCACTTTCCTGTAACCACAAACTTCTGCTGAACACTCTAACACTACATTTTTAAACCTACCCCATACCTCTTTGACCCCATTTCCTATGCTCTCATTAACCCATCTATCCTCCAATAGCTGTTTATATCTTACCCTAACTGCCTCCTCTTTTAGTTTATAAACCTTCACCTCTCTCTTCCCTGATGCTTCTATTCTCCTTGTATCCCATCTACCTTTTACTCTCAGTGTAGCTACAGCTAGAAAGTGATCTGATATATCTGTGGCCCCTCTATAAACATGTACATCCTGAAGTCTACTCAACAGTCTTTTATCTACCAATACATAACCAACAAACTACTGCCATTTGCCTTACATCATATCTTGTATATTTATTATCCTCTTTTCTTAAAATATGTATTCCCTTTATAACTAAACTCCTTTCTAAAACAAATTCAATCAAAGGGCTCCCATTATCATTTACACCTGGTCCCCCAAACTTACCTACCACACCCCTCTAAAAGTTTCTCCTACTTTAGCATTCAGGTCCCCCTCCCAAACAATTATTTCTCTCACTTGGTTTCAAAGCTCCTAACATTCACTTTAACATCTCCCAAAATCTTTTCTCTCTCCTCTACATTCCTCTCTTCTCCAGGTGCATACACGCTTATTATGACCCACTTTCGCATCCAACCTTTACTTTAATCCACATAATTCTTGAATTTACACATTCATATTCTCTTTTCTCCTTCCATAACTGATCCTTCAAACATTACTGCTACCCCTTCCTTTGCTCTAACTCCTCTCAGATACTCCAATTTAATCCCATTTATTTCCCCCCACCGAAACTCCCCTATCCCCTTCAGCTTTGTTTCGCTTAGGGCCAGGACATCCAACTTCTTTTCATTCATAACATCAGCAATCATCTGTTTCTTGTCATCCGCACTACATCCACGCACATTCAAGCATCCCCAGTTTTATAAAGTTTTTCTCTTCTCTTTTTTTAGTAAATGTCTACAGAGAAGGGGTTACTAGCCCATTGCTCCCGGCATTTTAGTCGCCTCATATGACACGCATGGCTTACGGAGGAAAGATTCTTTTCCACTTCCCCATGGACAATAGAAGAAATAAAGAAGAACAAGAGCTATTTAGAAAAAGGAGAAAAACCTAGATGTATGTATATATATATATGCATGTGCGTGTCTGTGAAGTGTGACCAAAGTGTAAGTAGGAGTAGCAAGATATTCCTGTTATCTAGCGTGTTTATGAGACAGAAAAAGAAACCAGCAATCCTACCATCATGCAAAACAGTTACAGGTTTCTGTTTCACAGTCATCTGGCAGGACGGTAGTACTTCCCTGGGTGGTTGCTGTCTACCTCAATGCACCACTCGCCTTTTTTCCTTCATCAATTCTATGGTTAACCTCATCCTTCATACATCCATCCGCTGACAAGTCAACTCCCAAATATCTGAAAACATTCACTTCTTCCATACTCCTCCTCCCCAATTTGATATCCAATTTTTCTTTATCTAAATTATTTGATACCCTCATCACCTTACTCTTTTCTATGATCACTTTCAACTTTCTACCCTTACACACACTCCCCAAACTCATCCACAACCTTTGCAATTTTCTTTAAATCCCCATAAGCACAGTAAATCAGCAAAAAAGTGGTCAATTCCCATTTTGTATTTGATTCCCTAATATTTAATCCCACCCCTCTCCCGAACACCCTAGCATTTACTTCTTTTACAACCCCATCTATAAATATATTAAACAACCATGGTGACATTACACATCTCTGTCTAAGACCCCACCTTTACCGGGAAGTAGTCTCCCTCTCTTCTACACACCCTAACCTGAGCCTCACTATCCTCATAAAAACTCTTTACAGCATTTAGTAGCTTACCACCTATTCCATATACTTGCCACATTGCTCCCCTATCCATTCTATCATATGCCTTTTCTAAATCCATAAATGCAATAAAAACTTCCCTACCCTTATATAAATACTGTTCACATATATGCTTCAATGTAAACACTTGATTTACACATCCCCTACCCACTCTAAAACCTCCTTGCTCATCTGCAATCCTACATTCTGTCTTACCTCTAATTCTTTCAATAATAACCCTACCGTACACTGAAAAAATATATGGGAAAAATAGGGTTGCATTCCTCAGACTTCCCGAAAACCTAAACAGATTTCTTTTACTATCATAATTCTTAAAAAAGTAATACTTTCATTTTACCTAATTTTGTTGATGAATTTGCTCTGTGAAATACCTAAAGTATAGTGAAGTTCAGAGAATTAAAATAAAGAGTACTTGTAGCTAATAAATTTTCTCATTGCCAACTTCAGCATAGTAATAATGTAAGTGTTTATTTTCAGTGAATTTAATATGAATACTTTTTTGTGTAACTGCAGGTGAATTAGAGCATCAGTTTATGAAACAACAGCAGGAGGCCCATGCTCAGGCAGCTGCTATTGCAGCTCAGTTACAGCAAAATCAAAATCAGCTTCAGATGCATGTGGCCCAACAGCTACAGCAGCAGCAACAGCAGCATATGGTTGATCTAATGAAAAAGCAGCAGCAGGAAGCTGCTCTGATGAGGTAAATACAGTACCATGAACATTATATTTAACCCTTTCAGGGTCAGTGCCATAGATCTACGGCTTTACGTTCAGAGTCCAAACCGTAGATCTACGCCATGAGCTCAGCTCATTCTGATAAGCTGTGAGTGATAAATTTGGGCCTAGATATGAGATAATACATCTATGTGGTATGTGTGCACCACATAAAACAAATCCTGCTGCACACACTGTATAATGAGTGAAAAAACTGAGACCGTCATTTTTTATTAAAACAGCGTCTTTGCAGTGTTTTTTCGTATGTTTTTTATGGTTGTATTTGCAATTTCTTGGTCTCATTTGATAGAATGGAAGATATACTACAGAAATAGAGATGATTTTGATTGGTTTTAGCACTGGAAATGGCTTGAAACCGAGCTCAAAGTAGCGGAAATGTTAAATTTTGGTCAATGTTCAAGAATAAACAAATGACCTCACACATCTAATACACGCCAGCTGGTGGGCCTAATATACGTTCACAAATGTGCTGATATTTATACAATTATTACAATATTGCATAACAGTAAATCTTCTATTTTTTGGTTTGAATAAAAATTCATTATGTGAATAAAAAATCAAAATGGAATTCATTTGTAAAGCCTGAAAACATAACTAATGAACAGAGGAAATATTAGTTTAGTGCCAGGAATGCTTGCATTGTTTATTCTGGACCCTATTTTGAAATTGGAATATTTTGAACTTTGTGTTAAATTGGCCAAATTACCAAATTCTGATGACTTTATTTTGTAGTTGAAACAGTTGACTGGGGGATTTCTTGTGCTCAATCGATAGAATAGAAGTAATACTAGTGAAATAGCTAAGAATTTGGTCGACTGGAATAATGTAATTGGCCTAAAATGGGAGTCAAAGTCGGCAAAATCGCTGATTCGTAAATATCGCTGACACATCAAAATTCGCAAGAGTATAATTTCGTCAATTTTCCATCAAATTTTGTACTTTTTCTTTTATTACATTCAAAAAAAGATTTTCTACCATTTCATAAGAAAAAATAATTTTTTTTTTTTTTAAATTCTTGGACCCTGGTGGACACTGAAATTTGGCCTCTTGGATCCTGAAAGGGTTAATACCTAGCCTCTAAATTACCAGAGAATATGAAACAGAATCTACTTGCTAATGGCTATAGGTTCTGTCTGGATTTAAGAACAGTTTTAGGAAAACCTGACTGCTAGAGTACCATATCTGTCGAGTGTTTAAGAGACAGAGGTAAGAACCTCCCCTGTATTCAAGATTATAGAAGGATACAAAAAAATTGACAAAGAAGACTACCTAACTTTGTCAACTGGCATAACAATAGCTACAAATAGGTTTAGGGTATCACTTAATTTTTTTTTTTTTTTCCAACAAGTCGCCCGTCTCCCACCGAAGCAGGGTGACCCAAAAAGAAAGAAAATCCCCAAAAAGAAAATACTTTCATCATCATTCAACACTTTCACCTCACTCACACATAATCACTGTTTTTGCAGAGGTGCTCAGAATACAACAGTTTAGAAGCATATACGCATATATATATATATACGCATATATGCATATATACAAGATTACAGGCATGTCTTGCTACTTCTACTTACACTTAGGTCACACTACACATACATGTACACGTTTATTTATACACACTCATCCGAGTTTTCTTTGATTTTATGTTAATAGTTCTTGGTCTTATTACTTTTCCTTTTATATCCATGGGGAAGTGGAACAAGAATCTTTCCTCCGTAAGCCATGCATGTTGTAAAAGTCAACTAAAATGCCGGGAACAATGGGCTAGTAACCCCTTTTCCTGTAAAGATTACTAAAAAGAATAAGAAGAAGAAAATTGTCAAAGTGGGAAGTCTGAATGTGCGTGGATGTTGTGCAAATGATAATAAAGAGATGATTGTGGATGTTATGAATGAGAAGAAACTGGATATCCTGGCTTTAAGTGAAACAAAGTTGAAGGGGATGGGAGAGTTTCAATGGAGAGGAATAAATGGGATTAGGTCAGGGGTTTCAAATAGAGTTAGAGCTAAAGAAGGAGTAGCAATAATGTTGAAGGATAAGCTATGGCAGGAAAAGAGGGACTACAAATGTATAAATTCAAGGATTATGTGGAGTAAAATAAAGATTGGATGTGAAAAGTGGGTTATAGTAAGTGTGTATGCACCTGGAGAAGAGAGAAGTGTAGAGGAGAGAGAGAGATTCTGGGAAATGTTGAGTGAATGCGTGGGGAGTTTTGAATCAAGTGTGAGAGTAATGGTGGTTGGGGATTTCAATGCTAAAGTGGGTAAAAATGTTATGGAGGGAGTAGTAGGTAAATTTCGGGTGCCAGGGGTAAATGTAAATCGGGAGCCTTTAATTGAGCTATGTGTAGAAAGAAATTTGGTAATAAGTAATACATATTTTATGAAAAAGAGGATAAATAAATATACAAGGTATGATGTAGCACGTAATGAAAGTAGTTTGTTAGATTATGTATTGGTGGATAAAAGGTTGATGGGTAGGCTCCAGGATGTACATGTTTATAGAGGGGCAACTGATATATCGGATCATTATTTAGTTGTAGCTACAGTTAGAGTAAGAGGTAGATGGGAAAAGAGGAAGGTGGCAACAAGTAAGAGGGAGGTGAAAGTGTATAAACTAAGGGAGGAGGAAGTTCGGGCGAGATATAAGCGACTATTGACAGAAAGGTGGGCTAGTGCAAAGATGAGTAGTGGGGGGGTTGAAGAGGGTTGGAATAGTTTTAAAAATGCAGTATTAGAATGTGGGGCAGAAGTTTGTGGTTATAGGAGGGTGGGGGCAGGAGGAAAGAGGAGTGATTGGTGGAATGATGAAGTAAAGGGTGTGATAAAAGAGAAAAAGGTAGCTTACGAGAGGTTTTTACAAATCAGAAGTGTTATAAGAAGAGCAGAGTATATGGAGAGTAAAAGAAAGGTGAAGAGAGTGGTGAGAGAGTGCAAAAGGAGAGCAGATGAAAGAGTGGGAGAGGCACTGTCAAGAAATTTTAATGAAAATAAGAAAAAATTTTGGAGTGAGTTAAACAAGTTAAGAAAGCCTAGGGAAAGTATGGATTTGTCAGTTAAAAACAGAGTAGGGGAGTTAGTAGATGGGGAGAGGGAGGTATTAGGTAGATGGCGAGAATATTTTGAGGAACTTTTAAATGTTGAGGAAGAAAGGGAGGCAGTAATTTCATGCACTGGCCAGTCAGGTATACCATCTTTTACGAGTGAAGAAGAGCAGAATGTAAGTGTGGTGGAGGTACGTGAGGCATTACGTAGAATGAAAGGGGGTAAAGCAGCTGGAACTGATGGGATCATGACAGAAATGTTAAAAGCAGGGGGGGATATCGTGTTGGAGTGGTTGGTACTTTTGTTTAATAAATGTATGTGTTATGGGGCTATAGGACCCAACATGTATTTATAAGTAACAGTTACTCTGGAATACTTAATTATATTGAATTGATGGGGACTTTGCTCTAAATGTTAGAAGGACTGATCAACCTTATGACTGAGAGGCAGCTGGGTCAAGCCTATTTTTCTCAATATAATAGGTTATACTATAGACACATAAACACACAATTTAAATAAGTAGTTTATAAAGTTGTATTTCTTTTTGTAAAAGTAAAATTAAGGTGTGGTAGAATTGTGGTAACTGGAGAATTGTGCTTGGCAACAGTCTTTTGTTTTGGTGGGAGGAGCTTAGCCAGGCTCTCTCTCTCTCTCTCCCTCTCACTGATTCTCTCTCTCTGTGGCTGACCTTCAACCTGGCAGGATCTCTGGGTCCTTCTTCTATCTTTTGAGGCATCATGTGTGCTCCAGGGGTGAGTTTTTATAATTTAAGTTGTGGCCACCATACCCAGGGTGACTAAAGTGTGTCAAAACACTGGTTAGCCCAAAGTTATGTCAAGAAGAGAGGACAAAAGTTGTTGGAACACACCATGTGGAGAACAGGTATGGAGTGTGTAGATTTTGTTTTGAAAATGTGAGGCTGTGATTGTATATTCTGTACATATCTATTGAGAATACAGTTATATTTTTATAGTAGTAGTTTACATAACCTGTGAAGAGGGCTGGTGAAAGGGTATCAGAGACACTCAAGATGATCAGCCATGATGTAAGTATTACCCCTAGACAGATAAGGCCATTAAGTACAAAGCTACCCCACACTAGAACATGTAGTGAGAACCTTACTATCAAAGTAATAAGACCTACCAACGTAACAGTATGAAAGAGGGGAAGGTACCTAGGGATTGGCGGAGAGCATGTATAGTACCTTTATATAAAGGGAAAGGGGACAAGAGAGATTGTAAAAATTATAGAGGAATAAGTTTACTGAGTATACCAGGAAAAGTATACGGTAGGGTTATAATTGAAAGAATTAGAGGTAAGACAGAATGTAGGATTGCGGACGAGCAAGGAGGTTTTAGAGTGGGTAGGGGATGTGTAGATCAGGTGTTTACATTGAAGCATATATGTGAACAGTATTTAGATAAAGGTAGGGAAGTTTTATTGCATTTATGGATTTAGAAAAGGCATATGATAGAGTGGATAGAGGAGCAATGTGGCAGATGTTGCAAGTATATGGAATAGGTGGTAAGTTACTAAATGCTGTAAAGAGCTTTTATGAGGATAGTGAGGCTCAGGTTAGGGTATGTAGAAGAGAGGGAGAATACTTCCCGGTAAAAGTAGGTCTTAGACAGGGATGTGTAATGTCACCATGGTTGTTTAATATATTTATAGATGGGGTTGTAAAAGAAGTAAATGCTAGGGTGTTCGGGAGAGGGGTGGGATTAAATTATGGGGAATCAAATTCAAAATGGGAACTGACACAGTTACTTTTTGCTGATGATACTGTGCTTATGGGAGATTCTAAAGAAAAAATTGCAAAGGTTAGTGGATGAGTTTGAGAATGTGTGTAAAGGTAGAAAGTTGAAAGTGAACACAGAAAAGAGTAAGGTGATGAGGGTATCAAATGATTTTGATAAAGAAAAAT